CAAAGATATCGTTATATTAAATATATTTTTTATTTTAACATTAAAAATTTAAAAATAATTTTTATTTTTACTTTTTTTATTCTAAAAGATAACAATAAATCATTTTTATGATATGATAAATAATAAAATTAAGATATAATAATAAATTTAAAGTACTAAAAAAATATTAATCTCTTTTATACTACGTATTATTTTTCTTAAAATATAAAAAAATAAATTTGATTGAGGAAAATCTGTAGAATAAGTAATTAAACTATTAAAAAAATATTCCCTCACTTATATATTCCAGGTTAGATCTTTTATTTTTCCTCCCCTCCCTTATTTTCTAATAAAAGTTTCCATTAATCAACTTTGTTTTCGGGGGAAAAAAAACTACTTGTTTAAAACAAATTTAAATAAAAAAAGACTAAGTATTATTATAATATGAGTAAGTTTTTTTTATTTAACTTTTTGGTATTTAAAACTTATATTGAATTAAATTACGTCAAACTTTTCAAACACTATTGATTTTTTTATAAAATTTAAATTTAAAATTTTATTTAAAAAAATTAATTTTTTTTTTGTTTAAATTAATTGATATATGATAGATTAAATATTTTTTTAAAGGTACATCATTTATTAGCTTGAAGGGCACGCTCATGAAACGAGCGTGGAGTTATGGTGTGTAAATTGTAAACAGAAGTTTGGCAGTCAAAAAGATTGAAATCTATCTATCTAATCTAGTGTGGAAAGGACGGGCTATGCTGTCCAAAAAGGCCAAAGCCTACACTGACTCACACTCACACGACAAATCAACTTATGATGTAAAATTCACCCGTCGATTCTCTCATGACGCGTGGCATTTGAAGAGGGTCCCATCTCTGTAATCTTTCGTACGCCTTCAACAAGACCACGTTCCGCAAGCAACAGCCAACAAACATTGTCACCACCACTACTATTTTAATTATAATTTTTTCTTAAATAATTATCTATCATATTTTTAAAACATTTATTTATAAATTAATTATAATATATTAAATAATAAATATTAATTATTATTTTTATAATTAAATTAAGATAAAATTTTAATAATTATCATAACTATAACTCATATTTAAGATCAGATAAATAATTGTTAATTAATTTACTTGAAACTATAATAAATATGCATGTTTGAATTGATTATTACAAGTTAACTATAATAGTTAGTTAATAATCAATATGAGAATTGATATTTATTATTTAATAATATAAA